TTAGTTCCAGCTCAACAGTACCTAACAATAGCAACAAATCTTCAGTCTTGATCAGGTCTGATGTTTGACTTCTATTTTGACATTTCTTATCCTCTGATCCTAATCTCTTAACCTATGAATCTCATCTGTCTATCAAATTCTCACACCTAATCAGAAAAGAACAAATGAACAAAGTTAATTCTTATCTGAAGAAGTCCCTCTGGCTTTTTATTAACTCTGTGACTTTGAGCAAGTTGCTTAATTTCTCTACATTTCTTTTTCTTTGTTTGTAAAATTGGATTAATATTTGTAAATCCTTCAAAGAGTTTCTGGGCATAAGGGTAGCATTGAAAGAAATAATCCATGCAAAATATTCAATAGTGCCATGGCACATAGTAAATGTTCAATAAATGCTCTATATCATTGTTGTTTTGTTATTGTTAATTTCCTTAAAGATTTTCCCATAGAATACAGTAAAAGGATCAGGGACAGCTTCAATTAGGAAAAGAAAAGCTACTATTCATATAAAATATATACAGCACATGTATATTCCATATAATAACACATAATTATATACAATTAAATTTAAACTATCATCATTATTTTTTTAAACTATGTTGCTCTTGTTCTCCTAGTAGATCAACTCCTTAAAAATAAAGGATTCTCTCCCTTGCTCTCTCTCTCTTTTATTTTAAATTTGTATCTGTCACACAGTATGCAATTGTTTAATTAAAACTTTCAGTCTTGATTAGAAGTATAAACACATGACAGTAAATCTGGGTCTGAGATATGAAATATAAGATCCAGGAACATTAAATATGAGTACAGTGCAGTAAGCTCTCAGGATTTAGAGTTATTAATATTTTATTCCTTCATTGAGACAGAAGGGAGAGACCCACAGTGGGTAATTACTCATTGGGCTGATAAACCCCAAATTCAGAAGTTCAAATCCATCAGCAGCTCCATGGGAGAAAGATAAGGCTTTCTTCTCCCTTAAAGATTGGCAGCCTCAGAAATCCTATAATGGGTTACTGTGAGTTGGAACCCACTTGATGGTGCGCCACCACCACCACCAGCCCTCTGAAGGTCCTGAAGTCTCTTATTTAGTCTTAATGTGAAGGTGCTTTGGAAATTTCAAAAGAAAACTATGGAAATGTGGGATATTACTATTATTATTATGGACTCCTCATGTGACACTGTAGGATAAGCACTGGACTGCTGACTGCAAGGTTGCAATTCAAACCCACCAGCTGCTCCTCAGAAATGCTATATAGAGCCACTATGAGTCACAACCGATTTGATGGCACTTAGCAATGACAACAACAACCATTATTATCAATTCTAACAAGTATAAAGGAGCCTGCTGGTAGTGTTTCTCTGCTATTCATAAGGTTTTCAGTGAATAAATATTTGGAAGTAGTTCATCACTCCTTCTTCCTAGCCTGTCTCCACCTGGAAGCTCATCTGAAACCTGTCCACCATGGGTGACCCTGCTGGTATTTGAAATACCGGTGGCATAGCTTCCAGAATCACAGCAACTCACAAGCCACCAGAGTATGACAAAGGTGGAGAGTCACATAAAAAGAGTAAGACCCCAGTGAGATGGATTGGTAAAGTGGCAGCATCAGTGGACTCAAGGGTGGCAAGGATTGTGATGTTGGTCCAGGATCGGACATTGTTTCGTTCTGTTGTGCATAGGGTTGCTATGAGTCGGTACCAACTCAATGGCACCTAACCACCACTACAACAACAACTGGTAGTATAGTGGGTTATGGATTGGGCTGCTAACCACAAGGCCAGCAGTTCAAATCCACCAGCCGCTCTGTGGGAGAAAGATGAGGCTTTCTGTTCCTGTCAAAATTTGTAGCCTTGCAAACTCTATACAAGGGCACTATGATCTGGAACTAACTCTACAGTACACAGGAGCAGCAAGTTATGTTATTGTTGGTGTTAAGTGTTGTTGAGTTGGTTCCGACTCATAGTGGCCCTGTATAGGGTTTCTGAGGAGCAGCTAGTGGGTTTGA